CCCCAACCCCATTGTGTCCGTTTTCTCCCCCAACCCAGTGTGTGTCCCGTTCTCCCCCAACCCCAGTGTGTCCCGTTCTTCCCCCATCCCCATTGTGTCCGTTTCTCCCCAACCCCAGTGTGTGTCCCGCTCTCCCCCCAACCCCACTGTGTGTCCCGTTCTCCCCCCCCAACCCCAGTGTGTGTTCCGTTCTCCCCCCCCCAGTATATGAGAAACTGTTACGCTCCATATTTATATTTACATTGTGCTCTCTTTACACAGAATTAATCTCTGAAGCAGACAATGACACGGAGCCCCAGGGACTCAAAGAGATCACTACTGCTCGAAGTACAGGACGAGAAACCCCAACCTCTGCCCATCATTTTAGCCATACCTCATAACATCTTGCATGGACAAAGAGGGGTGTGGGGAGTTTTAGTAACTTACAGGATTATTTACTTAAGTGTGATTTCAAAGTGATTTTCAAATTTAAAGTATCAATAGTCAATCTGAAACATTCTCTCAGTCAGTTCTGTTTCCAGCTTGGCTTTTTTAGCCTTAAATCTGAAATTTACTTTGAATCCTCACTGTCGTAAATAACTCTGTCTTATGGAAAATACGGTCTGGAAACGGTTATCCACTGGAGAAAAACTGGCTATTTTGTGCCACATTTCTTAATTTCTATTTTTATTTTTTTACATATTTTTTAGTGAATATAAACTGGTAATTTAAAAATGTTCGTAAAATATGTTAAAACTGCTTAATGTTCGTGCTTATTGTGCTTTTTCAGTATATTTGTAATACATGCCTCGCTGTGGGATTAGCAAGACGTTAATGTCCATTGGCTCTATAATGGTCACAGAGTTATATATTTGCATACATGCCAGTCACATTCCTAGTGGCCATTTCTATGGTGACACACAGGGAAGAGGGAGAAGACCCTCCAAGGACACGTATCCTTCCATGGTCACCCCTGGTATGTTCACTCGGCTTGGCGCCACCACCCTCTCTTTCTGTCTCCTGGTGCCCTTGTATGCCAGGAGCCATGGCAGTGGTATAAACCTGCTCATACAGTAAGAATCCGGTTTATGGAAGATCCCGCTAGACGACCTATGGGAGATTGCAAGATGAGGTGTCAGAAGGTGCTAATAGTTTTGGCCAAATAATGTCTCGTACAAAAGACAAAGTAGTGCTTACCTTGTGTCATGCTTCTCATTGTTTTGGAATTGAAATTAACCCGTAACATAGTCTATATGTTTGTCATAAAGATTTTATCAAGATTTTGACAAAGCTCCTCAATGGGTCCAAGTACAGATCCCTGAGGTACCCCACTGGTGACAAGTCCAAGCTTCGAATATACTCCATTAACTACAACCCTCTGTTGCCTGTTACTCAGCCACTGCCTTACCCATTCAACAATATTGGAATCCAAACTTAAAGATTGCAATTTATTGATAAGCCTTCTATGTGCAACAGTGTCAAAAGCCTTACTGAAATTTAGGTAAGCAATGTCTACTGCACCACCCTGATCTATAATTTTAGTTACCCAATCAAAAAATCAATAAGATTAGTTTGGCATGATCTCCCTGAAATAAACCCATGTTGTCTCTGATCTTGAAATCCATGTGTTTTTAGATGTTCAACAATCCTATCCTTTAACATGGTTTCCATCACTTTCCCCATTACTGAAGTAAGGCTTACTGGCCTATAGTTGCCCGACTCCTCCCTATTACCTTTCTTGTAAATGGGCACAACATTCACTAACTTCCAATCTTCTGGGACTACTCCTGTTAACAATGATTGGTTAAATAAATCTGTTAATGGTTTTGCTAGTACACCACTAAGCTCTTTTAATAGCTTTTGGGTGTATTCCATCAGGTCCCATTGACTTATTTGTCTTTACTTTTGACAGTTGAAATAGAACCTCTTCCTCTGTAAACTCACGTGTAATAAATGACTCATTTGTTCTTTTTCTTAACGGAAGTCCCTTTCCTTCATTTTCATCTGTAAATACTGAACAAAAATATTCATTGAGGCAGTCAGCCTGACCTTTATCCTCTTCTACATACCTTCCTTCTTTTGTTTTTAATCTAACTAATCCTCGTTTTACTTTTCTTTTCTCATTTATGTATCTAAAAATGTTTTATCCCCCTTTTTTACTGACTGTGCTATTTTTTCTTCTGTGTGTGATTTGGAAGCTCTTATAACTTGCTTAGCCTCTTTCTGCCTAATCTTATAGATCATTTTGTCTTCCTCACTCTGTTTTTTTTAATAATTACTAAATGCTAACTTTTTGTTTTTAACTATTTTGGCCACATCTGCGGAGTACCACAGTGGTTTCTTGAATTTTTTACTTTTACTGACAAGCCTAATGCAATTTTCTGTTGCCTTCAATAGTGCAACTTTTAAATAACCCCATTTCTCTTGGACTCCATTTAAATTGCTCCAGTCTGATAATGACTCCTCTACCCATATTCTAATTTTAGAAAAGTCTGTTTTTCTAAAGTCTAAAACTTTTGTTTTTGTGTGGTGTGACTCAGTCACTGCTCTTATATTAAACCACACTGACTGATGATCACTGGATCCTAAACTTTCACCTACAGTAATATCTGATACCAAATCTCCATTTGTTAACACTAAATCTAGTATGGCCTCTTTACGAGTTGGCTCCTCAACAACTTGTTTTAGAGACAATCCCAGTAGGGAGTTTAGAATATGTGCTCCTGGCACAAGTAGCTAATTTTGTTTTCCAATTTACATCAGGAAGATTAAAGTCACCCATGATGATAACTTCCCCTTCATTGTCATTTTAGCTATTTCCTCAACTAGTAGATTATCTAACTCTTCAATTTGTCCTGGGGGCCTATAAATCACACCTACACAAGTTACTGTGTGATTACCAAATTCTAACGTAGCCCAAACGGACTCTATGTTTGCCTCACTAACTTTTATTAGGCTAGATTTTATGCTATCCTTCACATACAAGGCCACCCCTCCCCCTTTCTTGCCTTCCCTATCTTTCCTATATAAAGAGTACCCTGGTATTGCTATGTCCCAGTCATTTTTCTCATTGTACCATGTCTCAGTAACAGCGACTAAATCTACACTATCAGTTGCCATTATTGCCACAAGTTCATGGATCTTATTCCCTAAACTGCGAGCATTTGTAGACATGACTCTAAGCTTATCATTTTTTAACACACTTGCTACAGGCACCTTCTGTCCTTGTTTTGGGGGACAATTGGATTGATGTTTTATCACCCTTTTGCCCCCCCCTCCTAGTTTAAATACATCCTAGCAAAACCTCTGAACTGCTCACTGAGAACATTTGTTCCCTTTTGAGAAAGATGCAAACCATCTTTTTTGTACAGCTTATCTCCATTCCAAACAGAGCTACCATGAGAAATAAAGCCAAATCCTTGCTCCGACACCATTCACCAAGCCACAAATTAAAGTCCCTAATACGCATCCGCCTGTCGTTCTGAGTGTTATGCATAGGCAGAACTTCAGAGAATGACAGTGTGGAAGCAACCTGCCGTATATCATTGGCAAAAACACTAAAAACTTCCTTAACCTCTGAAACCTCATTGCAAGCCAAGTCATTTGTCCCTAGATGGACAAGTACATCCAATTCCCCTTCCTGCTTTGCTTGCTTAACAATATTACAGATACGTCTCCTGTCTCTGTGAGCAGTAGCTCCGGGAAGACACCTCACAAGACCACCATTGTCCATCTCCACACCTCTTATAATGGAATCCCCCAACAACAACTGCTTTCTATTAGGCCTCACCATAGTCTCCAAGCCGGTATCCACAACACCACTAGCCTCAGTGCCTCTCTCCACAACACCACTAGCCTCAGTGCCTCTCTCCACAATACCACTAGCCTCAGTGCCTCTCTCCACACCACCACTAGCCTCAGTGCCTCTCTCCACAACACCACTAGCCTCAGTGCCTATCTCCACAACACCACTAGCCTTTTATCCACAACTCAAAGTCTACCAGATCCTACAGTAATCCATCTGCCATTCCTAGTATGTTTCTGCGGCAGTGGCTTTGCAGCAGTTCCAGTCTGAGTTTGTTCACCAGATAATTTACAAATCTCAGACTTCAAAAATACAATCTCCTGCCGCAAGATAGAGAACTGTCTACAGATTAGACAACAACCAAATCTCCAAAAAGTGGACGTGAAACAAATGCATAGCAACTATTACACTGAACTAAGTCTGCCATTCCAATGAGGAAAATAATTTAAATCAAACAAATCTTAACTTTATATTTATCCTCCTGAATACCTCAGATTACCTCCAGTTTATCTCCAGAATATCTCCAACTACACACTTAGAAACAGCACTTAGAAGTAGCACCAAGCTACGGAGCGTCCTCCCAATCACTGTGGAAGATGATGGAAATCCAGTGTGCCAAAATGCCAGGGTGGCTGGTGAAATATGATGGGATACTGCCCCCGACTTGTTGGACTCTGCCCTTTGATCCCTATGTACTTAAACACTGACCCAGTGGAGGGAGGTGGAGGCTGGTTGTGTTTGGGGGTTGATGTGGGAGGTGGAGGCTGGTTGTGTTTGGGGGTTGATGTGGGAGGTGGAGGCTGGTTGTGTTTGGGTGTTGATGTGGGAGGTGGAGGCTGGTTGTGTTTGGGGGGTTGATGTGGGGAGGTGGAGGCTGGTTGTGTTGGGGGTTGATGTGGGAGGCTGGGATGGGGGGTGGAGGCTGGTTGTGTTGGGGGGTTGATGGGGAGGTGGAGGCTGGTTGTGTTGGGGTTGATGTGGGAGGTGGAGGCTGTGGGTGGAGGCTGGTTGTGTTTGGGGGTTGATGTGGGAGGTGGAGGCTGGTTGTGTTTGGGGGTTGATGTGGGAGGTGGAGGCTGGTTGTGTTTGGGGGTTGATGTGGGAGGTGGAGGCTGGTTGTGTTTGGGGGTTGATGGGTGAGGTGGAGGCTGGTTGTGTTTGGGGGGTTGATGTGGGAGGTGGAGGCTGGTTGTGTTTGGGGGGTTGATGTGGGAGGTGGAGGCTGGTTGTGTTTGGGGGGTTGATGGGGGAGGTGGAGGCTGGTTGTGTTTCCTCCTCCTCCTCCTCCTCCAGACTCAGCCATACCTTCCTTCCAGACAGGTTACACAGAGCTTGCATCCAGGCTGCTGATAGCAGTGGGTGCAGTGCAAGAGGTGGGGGGTCTGATAGCAGTGGATGCAGTGCAGGGGGGTGCTGATGAGGGGATATGATAACTTTATACAAATATATTCGGGGCCAGTACAAACCTTTATCTGGAAATCTATTCATAAACAGGGTGTTGTGGTCGTGACCTAAATATGAATATTAATCTCTTAATACATAATAATTAAGCAATACGGAACAACATTAATATTTTTATAATTCATGGTATTATGGTCGAATATGTGGATAGAAAATACACAAAACGTTGTAATATTAAATGTATATTTAATATAACTATAATAAATAAACAGATGCTAGCAGAATGTCAATTTCAATAATTATACAATACAATACTACAACAAAACACTATTGGTTGCTAAATATTATACAAAAGGCTATTACAATTGCTAACTGTTACAATACAAACATATTACTTACAAGGCCCCAGCCCTTTGGCTGGGGTTAAGTCAGAGCTGGTGCTACATGATCAGTCAGGTACAGGCAAACAGAGAGCTCGCTTCTCCTAACATCTGGGTTTTATTCAGTGTAAGTAGGCTGGCCTGTGATGTCACTGCCAGAAGCACAGGTCTTCCTACACACTCCCCCTAATGGTGCCCCCAAAGCATTACACTAAATATGCTTTACTGACATCTAGTGGTGCGTCTAAAGCATTAAGCTCATTATGCTTTTTTTATGACAAAAAGTCATTAATTAATAAATACCATTACACAGGGCTATACATAGGACACGAGGTCACACATTTAGGCTGGAAGAAAGGAGATTTCATCTAAGGCAAAGAAAAGGTTTTTTACAGTAAGAGTAATAAGGATATGGAATTCTCTGCCTGAAGAGGTGGTTTTATCAGAGTCCATACAGATGTTTAAACTACAATTAGATAAATACTTGCAAAACCATAACATACAGGGATATAATTTCTAATTAGGGGGGTAATAGCTGCTTGATCCAAAGGGACATCTGACTGCTATTTTGGGGTCAAGAAGGAAATTTTTTCCTAGTCTGTTGCAAAATTGGAAGCGCTTCAGACTGGGTTTTTTGCCTTCTTTTGGATCAACAGCAAAAACATATGTGAGAAAGGCTGAACTTGATGGACGCAAGTCTCTTTTCAGCTATGTAACTATGTAACTCCTACTGAGAGCCTCTAGATAAAACTAACAGCCTTTAACTCCGAGATTCATCAGATCACACCAACCACTTCTAGCTAATACTGAGAGCATCTAGATCACACTAAGAGCCTAAATCATATTAAAGGAACACTATAGTCACCTAAATTACTTTAGCTAAATAAAGCAGTTTTAGTGGATAGATCATTCCCCTGCAATTTCACTGCTCAATTCACTGTCATTTAGGAGTTAAATCACTTTGTTTCTGTTTATGCAGCCCTAGCCACACCTCCCCTGGCTATGATTGACAGAGCCTGCATGAAAAAAAAAACTGGTTTCACTTTCAAACAGATGTAATTTACCTTAAATAATTGTATCTCAATCTCTAAATTGAACTTTAATCACATACAGGAGGCTCTTGCAGGGTCTAGCAAACTATTAACATAGCAGGGGATAAGAAAATCTTAATTAAACAGAACTTGCAATAAAGAAAGCCTAAATAGGGCTCTCTTTACAGGAAGTGTTTATGGAAGGCTGTGCAAGTCACATGCAGGGAGGTGTGACTAGGGTTCATAAACAAAGGGATTTAACTCCTAAATGGCAGAGGATTGAGCAGTGAGGCTGCAGGGGCATGTTCTATACACCAAAACTGCTTCATTAAGCTAAAGTTGTTCAGGTGACTATAGTGCCCCTTTAAGAGCTTCTAGATCACAATAACAGTCTCTAGATCACACTGAGAGCCTCTAATTCAAACTGTCAGCCTCTTGCTCACACTGACAGCCTTTAACTTATACTGAGAGTCTTCAAATCACACTAACAGCCTCCAGATCACACTGGGAGCCTCTAGCTCATACTAACAGACTCTAAATCACACTGACAGCCTCTAGCTCACACTGACATCCTCCAGATCCAATGACAGCCTCTAGATCAAACTAAGAGCTGCGAGATCACATTGACCGCTTCTAACTCATATTGAGAGCCTCTAGATCACATTGACCGCTTCTAACTCATATTGAGAGTCTCTAGATCACACAGACAACCTTTAGCTCATACTAACAGACACTAAATCACACTGAGAGCCTCTAATTCATACTGAGAGCCTCTAGATCATATTAAGAGCTTTGAGATCACAATGACAGTCTCTAGATCACACTGAGAGCCTCTAGATCGTACATAGAATCTTCAGATCACACTAACAGCCTCTAACTCATTCTGACAGCCTCTAGACCACACTGACAGCCTCTAGACCACACTGACCGCCTCTAACTTATACTGAGAGTCTTCAAATCACACTAACAGCCTCCAGATCATTCTGACAGCCTCTAGATCACACCAAGAGCCTCCAGATCCAATGACAGCCTCTAGATCACATTGATCGCTTCTAACTCATTGTTAAGACACAGTGTCTTTAAGCAAAACCGCCATTTAGTCGACCTTTCCCGTCTGTAATATCAATAAGCTCCATTCGCATAACCTGTAGTGCACGAACCAAATGCAGGGGAAGCGGCAATCTCCCGACCGGGATCCGTGAACGGCTCCAAACTCCCGAACGGCAATACACGAACTGCTACCAACTGCCGAACAACAATATTCACCAAGCGGCTTTCGGTTCCATCCAGCAGTCTCTAAACGTGAAGAAGAAATCCCCCCAATAACGAGACAGAAGCTCCGCATTGAGGGTCAAACAGGATCTGGCTTTACTGTGGGCTACCTGCCCGTATTTATGCAGGTCTCCCACTTGGTGGACACTCCCCTAGGGGACCAAATGGGAAACTTAAATGACAGACAGATATGGGGACATTCCAGACACACACTCACAGTTTTTACCCACAGTGCACTATGATTCCCTCCCCTCTGCCCTGGAGATAATTACCAAGTAACTCAATTATCTCCAGGACAAAGCCAGTTGCCATTTTAAACATAAAACCAGAAAAGACATAAAAATATATAATTTTACAATAACTGAACACTCTGCATTCTTTTCACATACCCCCAGATAGCCTGGATCTGAGTGCATATTATTAGCGAATAGCGCTCAGATCCCACACACATAGTTCAATCGCCATGGAGTCAAAGTTCTTACAGTCTTTCGGTATACGAATGACTCCATGGGAAGGCTATCTGGGTTAAGTCCTTTCGTATGCTTCCAAAACTCCCGAACGGCCGGTATTTGTATGTTTTCATGGAGGCAGCCAGGCGTTCCGTTGTTTCAGCGGTGTTTGGCAGAAAAAGTGTCAGTTTTTAGTTCCATGAAAATAGAGCCGAACACCGCTGGGCTTTCGCGTGGTTTTAAAATGGCCGCTGCCTCGTGGTCGACATACGAACGACGACCACCCTGAATTCGAGTAATTGAGAAGTGTCTGCGGTTAACCACAACGTTCTAATTGGGATCAATAGGTTAACCAGCAGCACACTTCTCTCCTGGGTGGCCGTCCGTTCGGCTGGTTTGTTCGGGAAAAAACAGTCATTCGTATGGCTGGGCTATAGAAAACAACCATTCACACGAACAGGATAGAAACAGATGAATACACCTGAAATAAGCAGACAGATGGTTCTGTCACACTGCTCCCTCCTTGTGGGACACTCCGGCAGACCCGGCTTGACCCTGTGGCGGGTCAACTTGGGGATGACCGGACTAAGAGGTGGTGGAGACGTCTGTTTGCCGAGATAACCCATCTGCATTCCCGTTCAGCTTACCGGGTCTGTAGCTGATGGTAAAATTGTAGGGCTGCAATGCCAAGCTCCATCTCAGTAGTCTCCCATTGTCTCCTGAGACGCGGTTAAGCCAAACAAGGGGTTATGGTCAGTCACCAGGGAAAACTCTTGCCCAAAAAAGTAGGGACTTAACTTTTTCAATGCCCAGACCAAGGGCAAGCACTCCTTCTCCACTGCCGCATAACCCACTTCTCTGGGTAACAACTTTCTGCTGAGATATGCGACAGGGTGCTCTCCTCCATCTTCCCCGACTTGGCTCAGCACAGCCCCCAGTCCATACATGGAAGCATCTGTATGGACGAGAAAACGTTTGTTAGGGACTGGGGCAGCCAAGACAGGGGCATTCACAAGGGCCTGTTTCAGTGCCTGGAACGTGGCTTCACAAGCCGGAGACCACAGGACCTGCTTAGGCAAATTCTTCTTTGTCAGGTCTGTCAGGGGCTTAGCAATAGTGCTGTAGTCAGGGACAAAACGTCTGTAGTACCCTGCCGTCCCCAAAAAGGCCAGTACCTGGGTCTTAGTGGTAGGTGTGGGCCAGTTAGCCACTGCCTCTACCTTGGCTGGCTCTGGTCTCTGGCTCCCACATCCCACTCTGTGACCCAGATACTGTACTTCAGCCATACCTAGATGGCACTTCTCTGGCTTCAACGTCAGGCCAGCGGCCCGAATTTTATCCAGTACCACCCCTACATGAACCTGGTGATCCTCCCAGGACCCACTGTAGATCGCAATGTCGTCCAAGTATGCACAGGCAAATTCTTGGAAGCCATCCAGGAGTCTATCCACCATCTGTTGGAAGGTAGCCGGTGCATTTTTCATCCCAAAAGGCATGACCTTAAATTGGTACAGGCCAAATGGGGTGACAAATGCCGACTTGGGGATAGCATCCTCGGCCAGGGGGATCTGCCAGTAGCCCTTACATAGGTCTATGGTGGTCAGATAGCGCCCCCTGGCAATACAATCCAGTAATTCGTCTACCCGGGGCATTGGGTAGGCGTCAGTGGTGGTCCGCTCGTTGAGCTGCCTGTAGTCCACACAGAACCGGGTGGTCCCATCTTTCTTGGGTACCAAGACTACAGGCGAGGCCCAAGGGCTGTCGGAGTGCTCAATGACCCCAAGTTGGGTCATCTCCTGTATCTCCTTCCGCATTCCTTCCCAGACTGCTTCAGGGATACGATAGGGGGGCTGTCGTAAGGGGGTCTGTCCAGAGGTCTCTACCTTATGTACAGCTAGGGTGGTATAACCTGGCTCCTGGGAGAACGTCGCCTGCTTCTCCCACAACAACTGCTGTGCCTGTACTCTTTCTGTGGGGTTCAACCTGTCCCCAAGCTGTACAAGGGTAGTAAGGTCAGTCTGGGAATCCCTTTCTAACAAATCTGGACGGAGTAGATTCTCAGAATCATCTGCAGCTGGGGCACATGCTGCTGCAATATTCTCAGGTTTCTCCTGGTACTCTTTCAGCATGTTCACATGAAAGGATCG